GTTCAACTGGGGTTTTTAAGCACGGGACTCCAAACTTTATGTGGGAGGATAGAGGTAGGCAGAGTACTATAGGAGGCAGGGTTCAGACTAAAAGGAGGGGGGGGGATGAGAACATCTTACACTGTACATTCAAGATAAGCATAATGGGTCATTTTGCTCCTGAGTTAGCACATCATATGTACAAGAGTTCCATAGGTTTGCTGGACAAATGGCACTTTGTAGAGCTGATGTTTTAAAAGCTGACAAATTTAATCTCGGGCTAATAGCTTGATTTCATTATGCCTCTTTGTACAGCTTTTTCTCAGAGCACTTAAAGAACTCTATTTTATGAGCTGATTCTCAATGCAAGAAAGTTTCTGCAATGTCAAGCTTCTGTTGAAACACTGAAACCACAATTCTGTAGGAGAGGTCAACACAATTGTCTTCATTTTGCTGATCTGGAGCCTGCTGAAAACTACCTGTTTGAATCTGGACAAAGGAGTTAACCAGCATTATGCACTGAAACTCTCTGTGGGAGAATATGGCAAGTTTTCAGGAACTGGCAAAATGGTGGCTCTCAAACTGTGCTCTCAGAGTCATTTCCCTATTGACATTAACAGTACATATTCAGATACACTGATGCATAGGATACATATGAAAATGCTGTCCAGAATCCTCTACAACCTGGAAAGGTTACCAAGGGGTTTTACTTGGTAGACAAATTAGTTGAAGAACACAAAATGTAACAGTATAGAAGTTACCACTTTTTAAAAGAAGTATCTAAATCTTGTGCAGAAATAACAGCAATCCTTTTCCTTTTTCCCGTCTCCTTTAAGCAGTTTTGAAGCCAGGATGAGTTGAAAGAAAAATATTAACGTGGCAGAGATCAGCTGGCCAAGTGACTCCATTCCAAATTTTGGACAGCACGAAATGCTTAAAACAGGCCATAACAAGCACAAGATACACACAAAACCTCTCATCTGTTAAATTCCCTGCAACCAAAAATCTTGTCCAAACATCAGTGAGTTTGTTTAGCATTTTATTAGCCAAATCAGGTAGTTGTTGTTAGCAATACTTCCTAAAGAGTTCTTCTCACCATGCCTTCTAACCCTGAAAGATCACCATGATTTCATAGGAGACTGGGAAGAACATTCCAGGCACACATACTGATCAGACCCAGTCCCAATTTTTTGCTAATAGCCCCTGTTTTATGGGCTCCTCCCATTTTGGACTTTTCTGCACATCTTTACTGTGAACAGCTTGAACTGACATTCAAAAGTTGTGTCCTTTCCCCCAGTTCAGTAGAGGTTAAATATAGGCATGGGAATGAATGTGTTTTCACACTACATATACATATGAATACTGAGGAATCATTGAGTTGGAGGGACATCAGAGATCAATTGTTCCATTCCCCTGCTGAGTGATGGAAATCTAGAATCAAGGCACTCTCCTTCTGTCTGAAGACCCCCATCCTGGGAGATCCTATAGGTACTCAATCTTGTACTCAATCAGTATACAGCCTCTCATTTCATATCTTGCAATGCCCAAGGTATATTTGGATGTGTTTGGACTACAACCAACCAAAGAACCCCCATTTTGGCTCCTTTATGCAGCAGGAGGCAGATGACCATCTGTCATAATCAAACGAAGGCAAAAGAAAATTGGGAGGAACAGAGCCATGAAAGAGTTGCAGTGGGCTTCCAAAAGAAGTCTTCCATACAAGAATTCTGATTTCCTTTCAAGACCTTGTTGTTTCTGAGCCAAATACTGGTCAGGACACAGGCATTCTCCAACAGTGGATTCAGATAACTGGAGTCAGGAAAGCCTGGAAGAGGAGGTATAGGTAGAAGCTTTGGATCCAACAGAGGTCATTCTTCTTGCTTCAACAATGCAGGAAGGCCACCCCAGAACGGCAAGTTCATCTAAGCCATTTTATTGCTGGTTCAGACTCCAGGGATTGCCACAGATATACTCCTTAAGCAGAATTTACTTCCAAGAGAAGACCAAATGGGATTGGACCGGTTCAGACTCCTAACTCAAACCTTCTGATGAAGAGTTCTGCAGGGTACAAATGTCAGCATGTCCCCAAAACTAAGAATCTGGTCCAACTTGTGATTGTCAGTCTCTCTCTCTGGGCCTTTCATCACTTATGCTTTACCATGGTATAGTAATTCCTTGATAACAGCAATTTCCTCCTTGTCCCCTTGACACTGGCTTCATCTCAGCCCCAAGCCATAAGCAACAGGCTTAGCTGTCCTGAACTATATGCATTTTAATGTAGTTCTTTCCTCCTTATGCTGGCACCATCAAATGGCAGTCTCATGGAGTGTAAAATCTGTTAGGTTTTGTTACTCATTATCTTGGAAGGCAGTGACTAGGAAGAGAGGCAAGAGAAGCAGAAGGATTGGCAGTGGGGGCAGCAAATAAGGGAAATACTGTTTTCTCCTGATTCAAGGATACATGGATAGCACATTAACTCAGTTGTGGGGAAAGGTCCCCTCTTTCTCTCTTTCCTAACTCCATATTTTAAATGTTGGTGCCAGAAAAAAAATATGCTCTCTGCTTTGTGTTTAACAGCAAGCCAAGCATCTACTTTTTCAGCTTATTTTTAAGCAATTAAAAAAAAACCTCAAACCATCAATGCAACTGAAACCAAATTATTTAAAGAAAGGGGAAAAAATCCCAAGGGGAAAGGAATAAGCAATTTCACAAGACAAAGGAACAAAGAAAGTTGACCTGCACCCTCCCTAAAAAAAATAATATATTATAAGATAATAAAGAGGGAGTTTTACAGGGCAGCCCTGTACTTGTTTACGTGGTAGTAAACCTTATTAAATGAGTGTGTATAGGATTACAGCTTACGTGTCTTGTATGCTTTCATAGTCCCAAGGATGTAAAAAAAATCTATAGAAATGTCTTGGTAACTGGAAGGATGACATTCAAAAAAAGGAAAACAAAGTTGTTTTGTACTTTTAAATTCTTAAGGGAGCTTCTGGTCCAGCCAGTAGCTTTGAGTCGCTGTTTTCATTTATGGTAGTCTTTCCTGAATTCTGAAAAGAAAGAGAAGGAAAGAAATCTAGGATTAAAGGTGGGGTTAAACTTTAGGCAAGACAGAATTTCAAGCCAGAATTCCACACGTTTATGTGCTATTCATTCGCTACTTTCTCTGACCCCTCTTTGAAAAATGACAGGCAAAGCACAGTGTAGAATCTAACATTATGTTATTTTTAATTTAAAACCCCAGCTGGATGGAGGTTCACAAGATCAAATTAAAAGCCATGAAAGGGTACCCAGTTTGCTTGCCAGATATGGCAGGGTGTCACATATTAGACTCAGTGTTTAGAGGAACATGGTTCTAGGTATGAGGTCTGATCCAGTCATTCAAAATGGCTTTTCCCAATGCACTGGATTAAATCTCCCACTGGACAATGGGGTTTGTCATCCAGTGCATCAGATTGTGTGTGGGGGGGGAGGGGGTCTTCAAGCATTCTCACGTGAAAGGTGCTGGAGGAGAACCATGCCGTGAATTACTGTAGCAGTCTAAGAAGAGGTACGGACAATGCCTGACAATCAATGTACTAGACTTCAACCCCCATCATCTTTTACCACTGGCCAGGCTTGTTCAGGAGTTGAAGTTCAGCACCAAACTACTGTTTTCATGGAACAGAGACCCTTTTTAAAAGCTGAAGTACGGATTTGCTTAGAATGCAATCCAAGGTCGAAAATTAGGGCATAAGGTCTGGCATCGCAAAGGGGATTGTGAAGCAGCAGAAAGACTTCTTGGCCCTGGAGCAAACAGAGCCAACTCTGGTCCGAAAAGGATAATGTTGGCATGTTGGAATCCTGTCCCATTGGCCTTTCCTGGATGGAAAGAGTGACTCACCCACAGTGAACAGCTTGTAATAAGCCCCTTGGCAGTCAGTTGTGGTGAGCTAATGAAAGACTGTGGGGAGGACCAGCTTTGCAAGGCTGAGTTTCATCAAGCAGTCTCCAAGTATCCCTCTCCCTGCTAACACTGGAGGGTGACACACCTTCTCCCAGCAGTAAGACAATGGGACGTTTAAAGGGAGGGGGGAAGAATCACTCTTTTATTTTTGCTTCTCACTCACCTTTATCTAAGTCAATATTCTTAGCTGGAAGAAACCTATTTTGTTCAGCTTTCTCCTTCGTGATATTGTTTTTGTAATCTGCAGGGAGAGAAATTGGTTCAAAAACAGTGTGATTTAGAAAAAGGGGACAATCCACTTTCATGTTAAAATTAAGCGATCATGTAGATTGATGATTATATGGGACTGAAGAAGCCACTGTATGTTTAAAGCTTCAGGGTGAAGACACACCTACAGTGAATTCATATATCAAGTGGACATTTTGGCTGGCTTAACTACAATTTGTTGAGGAAATTACAGCTGGTTATGTGTTGCATGCTAAGCCATAAAGCAGGGTTTGCACAATACAATGGTTTGTTCACACAGTTTGTTAATGCCAAATCAAACAAACTGCAGCATGGCGTAGGTCAGTATGTGGATATGGCACATGTGAAAGCACCCCCTCCCCAAATCCTTCATCCTGCACAACTTACCCAATTTAATGTCCTCACTTTTGTAGTTGGACAAATTTGTTGCATCAAATGGAATCTCCCTGAGAGTCAGTTCTTTCCTGGAAAAACAAATGCAAAATTATAATTGTATTGTTCAAATGTTATTATTATTATTAATTACCAGCATAGCACAACAGCAATCTATGCTTTCTTGGATATGTTTCCCAATTACTGATTCTATCAATGTGTAGATACAAAGGACACAGAGTGGGGACATTTTATACAGCCAATAACTAAAGATATCTGAATAGCACCCATAAATTGGATGGTGGCTGGGGTACAGAAGATTTCCAGATCTCACTATAGCTATTTTGAGAAAAGGGTCCAACTGCTGGCCCTCTAGGACTACATCGTATCTATGGGCACAAGGAATACAAGTCTACTTACCCATCATATTTTTTCACGTTGTATTGAAAACCTAAAAATAGAGTAAGAAACAGATATTCACACACATCCGGGGAGATATTTTCCAGCACAGTTAAATAACCATGGCACAATCAAGCCATACACCATGGAAATAGTCCTCATGTTAGAATTGAGAAGATAAAAGGATGGGGCTGCATTGAGGGAAGTACATTCATGTCCAAATTAGGCCATAGTGAAGTAGGTTATTTGAATTTTTACTTTTGCCACTGCCTGTGGCAACAGAAGATACTTTTTGTGGCAATTTTTTCTTGGCAGCTGCCATTTTATTTTCCCAGTATTGTAAGGCATTGTGGTCTCTTGGGCTTCCTGGGGAGAAAAGGGTAATGGCAAACATCATGTTACTTTTTATCAAAAAGTGCTGAACGATGCTGCTTCTGAGGATTCTGGGAAAATAAAACATTAACTGCATAGAGGCAGCCACCAAGAGAGTCTTTAAAAAAAGAAATTCACACCCCCTCCCCAGATGAGGGATGATCAAAATGAATTCCTGAAAACAAACCCATCTGCAACTGTTTCTTCCGTGCTTGACTTATAATTCAGGCAAATGGAATGGAGCAAACTCCACTCGATTCTCAAGTATCTTAACTATATGGATGTCACCCGGTGCTCCTATCCAGAATTTCTTCAAACCCAGTTTTTCCATGTAGTGTCTAGCTGAACTCACTGTCCCAGGTTCACATGTAACCCATGGATCCCCTGGACCAACCAAGGACAGAATGGTGGCTGCCTTAATTCTAAGCACAAAAGTTAACTTAAGGGCAGTTAAAACTCCCTTAAGCCCTAGCAGTGGGAGATGGTATTCCACAGTTTAAAAGTGCAGGACCACAGTTCTGTCTTTCCAGGAGAGAGATGGGGACCTTAAAAATGAGGAGGAAGCCACTGTCGGAGTAATGAAGACGGAGTAACAGATGCCTTTGCTCACCTCTCCTCCGGTGCTGTCGAGTCACGAGAATCACCAGAATCAGGAGCAGGATGAAGAGCAAGAGGGTGGCCAGGACATAGCCCAGCTGGTGGAAGAAATGGGCCCGGCTCTCGGGGATGATAACATTGATCACATTGTGGTTCCGGCCTGCATTAGGATCTGGGTGGTAGAGAAAGATAAAAAGTCAGTGGGTTGATTCACAGCTCTCCTTGGATATGAGGTTGAAGCTGAGAAAAAGGAAACTTCACTTAAAGTTAGTCCCAAACCAGATCCCACAAGCAGAACATAAAAGCAACACTTCTTTCACATTGTGGTATTCAGATACAATGCTTCTGAATGTGGAGGTTGTATTTCGATGTCATGACTAATGAACCATGACTGACAGATTCTCCTTCTCCACTGACCTATCGACCTTCTTTGGAGCAGGACCTAGGGTAGCAGAGAGCTCCAGGTATTGCCTTCCTGTGGCAGGGAGTTCCAGCTATCAGTTACATAGTGTGTCAGTCTGAAGCACTTCCCTTTTTGGTCTGTCCCAGCTCTCCTTCCAATCAGTATTACAGGAGAAAGAGAAAAACTGTCCTGATACTGCATGGGACTCCCCACAAAAGGGTACTGGCTAAAATAGAAGTTGCCTGATGGTTATCTTCTCCACCCTGGCTACCAACCAACCATTTTGATTTGAGACAGAAAAGGATTGTTCCTTTCACAGGGAAGATCCCGGATTCAGTCAGTAGGAAAGTAGGGGTTCTACCCCTGAGCTACCCCAACAACATTTAAACATTCCTTTCAAGGATTTTTAAGCGAAAGCTCTTCCACATGCTTGCTTTTAGCAGCCACTTCCTCAGTTGGTATCCTCCATGCCTAGCACCCTTTCACACCAAGGTGAGGCTGCCAAGGTGATGGCTAGAAACAAAGATCTCAAAGAAATGAGCAGTTGTCCCTTCTGCTCTTTCTGCCATTTTGAGGTCAAAGAATAGATCACTACCCCGCACCTTCTCAGATTCTTCAGTCCAACGCTCGCCACTGCTTTATGCTGTCAAACTGCCTAGCTCAGTATAGTCACAGAAGAATGTCGATACCAAAAGAATGAGTTGAGATAACACAAAATCAAACCAGAGATTTGTGCGCACACCCCTCCCCCCCAGAAAATCCAGATTTTAAGCCAGGAATCCATTGCAATGCAGGGTGTAGCAGTTCTTTACATTGAAGCAGAGAAGGAAAAGTGAGAGCAAGTCACCAGTGTGAAATGCACTTCATGAAGCCAATTGTGTGTATGTGTGTGTGTGTGTGTTTTAAAAGAGACGTTTGGAGAAATACTTGTTTGCAAGAGTCACAGGGTTATACAAATGCAGACAAGGACTGCATTGGATTTATTCTGTTTTACCATGAGGAAAGAGAAGTAAGTTTGGATATATGGAATGAATGAGGGGAAAAAAACTTTAGGGAATTAGCTGTGTTTCTGAGAATTAGCAGTCATTCTCCTAATCCACAGCTGCCTCTCATACTATTTCTGTGCCTAGCAATGAATGTGTTTTACTGTTAAGGAACAGGTCTAAGTCAGTCCTGGTTAGCATGCGGAGAAAAAAAAAAAAGGCAAAATTGAATGGAGATATAGATATCCCCACAATGGAGAACAGAAAGGAGTAGGAGGCAGGAAGCTGAGACTTGAATACAAGTCAAATCACCACATTTGTAGCATGACAGTGGGAACATCAATGCCTCCCTGTTCTCCAAGATTCCCCAGAAGATCTCAGAGAAGGGCAGGAAAACTCCTTTTTAAGTAACTGGAGAAGCCTCAGGGACAGAACACGACATAGCCGAACATTGGGAGAAAACTGATTACAAACGTTTCTAATGAAAATAGAACCTGACACTTCACCACGCAATGGTATTTTCTTCCTTGAAACGTGTTGGCACATTTTTCTTGAGTCTCCAATGCACACATATAGCTTGTGACCAGTTAAGTGGGAGGAAATTTTCAGCACTGGACATCAAGAAGACAGAACAGTGTTAAGCTTCAAACAACCTTCTGGAGAACCAGAGAGGCTAAGTGGCTGAAATTAAACATGAGACATAGAAGACTTTCGCTGGTGAGTAGCCTGGCCCAAGGGGAGATCCTAGTTCAGCTATCAGTACACTGACAACATTTGTAGGGGCGAAGCTGGTCCATAACTTATGGCAAAAACTTGTACATGTTGATTGAACTACATGTGAAGAGCAGCTTCCTACCATCTTTCGAGCATTTCCCACCAAGTGATCCATCCAAAGCGATGCCATGTACCTTTTTTATTTTGTTTCTTCATGTAAGTACATAACCTGGTGCTGTCTAGATGAGTTGGACTTCACTGTCATCATTCCCGGCCCTTCTTCTTTGACATGGTGGGGAATATGGTCTATGGGGAGCAGGAGCAGAGTCTAGGGATGACCCTCACTTCCAGCAGAAAGAGAAATGGAAATGCTTTCATTTTGCAGAGTTTTCTGTCACTGCTTACATCAGCTGATACTGATGTCATGTGATTCTTTCAGTCGGTAGACCCTTGAACTGCGCACATTGTGCTTGGCAGTATAATCCTATCTATTTTGAAAATAATTGTCCTGGAGATCAGTTTGGACTGACTGACAGTCTGCTTTCTATGATATTCAGGACACAGAAAAGGAAACCGGCTCACTTGTGGCACAGTTAACATGGAGGAAGATTCTCTCAGTGACTGCCGTTACAACAGTTATAGACACATCCATGCAGAGAATTGGTTATGCCATTAGCATTCAGAAAAAACTGCAAGAGAAAACATTGCCATTATCTGGTTGACTAGTATGAGAAAGAAGATGCTAGGTTAGAAGCCCTTCAGATAGCAATTCTTAAAACCTCAAGGATCTGTAATAGAACCTCCACGTACAGAGCAATTCTATCTCTGAGAAACCATTGCTGAGCAACCCCAGTGGGAGAGGGCTATTAGAGGAGAAGCAACAGTCAGCAAAATCCAAGGAACAAACTGCCACATGTATTTAAAGAGGGCATGACAATGATAATACCAACTGTTCGTCCACACCAAAATTCTGACTGAAAAAGAAGAATTGGAATCTGACTGATCCTGTACTTAGGACCAGAGCCTCAAAGGGTTAACACCAGATCTGAGGGAAGGCGGAGTAAAAATAAATAGGCCATGTTGATCTTGTAAGCAGAATAAAATTTCCTGTCTAGGAAAGGGTTCCAAACCTTGGAACTATGCCTGGCATTAAAAGATCCAAGGAGAAGCTTCTAGCTCTCCTCTTTAAAACAAAAAGCTGAATCCCTCCAGGAGTTTCTTTTGGTTTCCAATGGTTGAAGGGACCAGCTGAACCTCTCCTGCTGCTAAATAAACAAAGATCCTTGTAAATATAAGGAAGAACCCAGAATTGGGGGAAAGGCTGCAGGGAGGGAGGGAAAGCAAGCAAGCTAGCTTGCTTTGATTCAGGAGTTTCCCTTGAATGGATTTTCCAACGGAAGTCTGAGTTAGCCAAAATCTGATAGTTTGCACAGGATAGAAAGAAGTTCTTGGGGATCTGGGACCAATTTCCTGATTGCAGCTGCAATGAGTAGAAGACTGGTGGGTGGAGCAACTCAGAAACTGGGTCAAACAATTCCTCTGCTTTCTCATTTGCAAATGACAACCAGATTGTCAGACTTGTGACTTGTCCCCTTAAAACCAGGCTGAGGTCCAAGGTCATCTGCCTTCCCTCAAACTCTAAAATATGACCTCCAGAAGCCACCAAAAGGCATTATCAGTCTATAATTGAATATACTGTATATATATTGGAAGGGGAAATGCCTTAGAGTGATCCTCTGAGCTGTGTTACTTTTCTGATTGCAGCCCTCAACAAGACATGTGCCTGGGGCCCAGAAAGAGTAGTGCACCCCACTCTACAAGACTGCTGCTGCCATAGCAGCTTTGCCCCAGCTAGGACCTGTCCCATTGTTCCTGTCCCCTTGTCCCGATGGGAGTTACCCTGAACCATTCAGGAGCTGAGTCAGAAAAATCTGCCATATAGTAGGCCATGAGATTTTCTTAGCATCCCCTTCATTCTATAGTTCTCTGCAGCCCTGGAAGTTCTAAACCTAGCAGTACTGGGCCATTAAAGAGTTCATTGCGGCGCTGTTAGGGATGTTATTAAGCAGCTAATAAATATTAAACAAGCAATAAATATTTTAGATTGTTAATAAACATAGAACTATGCCTGGCAGGTTTGTTCTTTTCTTCTGTTTGTGAGGCATTTGTTCATTGATTAAAGTTGCAGGTTTTTCCCCCTATGCGCTGATTGAATAAAAAGATGGAAAAGCTTGGTTCAGAGGCAGGAAATGTACAATGCAGTAAAATTGGCCACTACCTCAATTAAAAATCTGCCCTAAAACATTTTTTTTCCAAAAGGACTTGGAATTAGCAGCTACAAAGATTTTTCACATCAGTCCTTGCATTGTAACGTGTAGACAGTTCCTGGAAGTTAGAAGTGCTTTTTGGATGAGGGAGCCCATCCCTTTTTAGACATTAATTATTCTCTTCATGCTGTAATTGCTTACCTGCTGCTGGGGGGTTGGGGCGCGTGAGATTCACCACCACTTTTTTTTTCAGTTCTGGCTCCACCACCGAGACCTGGAAGATCCTACGTTCGTGGAGGCCACAGTAGTGGTGGTGCAGGTGACAGGAATAGATGCCTTCATCTGCAGCCTCCAGAGCAGAGATTCTCAGTGAGAAGTCGCCCAGGGCAAAGGCCTTGTCGGTGATGTTCATCTTTTGCTGGAGGAAGAGAGGCCCGTACAAACGGCCCTCCCCAGAGGCGTACAGGTCAATGAGCCGATCCGCCCGGTCGTGAGGCACTCCTGGGGGCTGCCTGTCCCAGTGGACTACTTGCTGATCCTCCTCCTCATCTCGTCCAGTCCAAACCTGGTTCCGGTTGATGCAAGGAAATGTCACCGCACTCCCTTTCAGGGCAACAATCACCACTTTCTCCCCATCCCAGTACCTCTGGACTTCATCAGCTGTAGAAACCACACACGAGAGAGAAGAATAAATTTGCTTCCAGGGGTGCCATTTCATACACAGTTCCCCCCAAAGGGCAATTCTCTTGGAGGAGAGCAAGAGAGCCCTACAGGCCCATGGCATTCAGAGTACATTTTCTATAATCAGGTGTCAGGGAGGGTGCAGAAACCAGTACAAAGGCAGAACAGATTTGTTCGGTCCTTACAAAACCTAGATCCAGCATGGCTTTCCAACTCTCTCCACTGATTGTGTGAAGGATGTGGGAGTCAAGATACTAGACATTCCGAAGCAGCTTTAGACATCAGCAACCCAAGCCAAGTTACCCATTAAGCGGTATCTTGGTCCCCATCACTGGCTACACTAGACAAAAAACAGATGGTGCTCAAGTGCTTTGTTTTTTTCGTTTGTTTTTTTTGCTTTGCACAGAAGAACAGAGGGACTGCACACATGGTGTGTCACAACTTAGAACGAACTGCAACAAAACCTAACTCCAGTGTACCAAATTTTAAAAAATCAAGTTCTGAACCCACTTCAGCCATGTAGCTCATGAGTCTGTTGCTCGTGACTCTCAGCTGAACCTCTCTCACAGGCTTGTCGTTACAGATTTCATTTCCTGGACACTGTCATTTCGAGGTACAAGGACAATAAAGTTTACAGCAACTATCCTTCTAATGAGATCCCTCCTACCCCCAGTATAGGGTATATAAACTGCCAAATTGTTTCCTGCCTTTCCAAAAGAGGATTTTTCCAAACGTTTGTTTCCTTGTGGAAGAAATAAAAGAATACTGTATTGAAGCTCTTGGAAAGTTCTTAAAAAGTGTCCTCAATTTTTTGTGTGATGGGTAGATGGGGAAAAGGGTTTTTACAAAAAAAAAACAAGAAACCCTACAAATGGCATTGCCTGGTAAGAATCTTTAGAGAAAATCTAATTAAGAACACAAAACCTAAGAGTTCTCCTGGATCAAGCCAAAGAGATTGCATTGGCCTCCTATATCTACATCAAGATGCATTGTGCTGAGAGTTGGCACACAAGGCAGGAAAACAAGGGAAAGAAAAAAAATCCAGCAAGGATCCCTAAGAGCATAATGATGGGGTCAGCGCAAGCATTTACTGTATAAATTTCTACTTTCTCAATCAGAGCAAGATTATTTGTCCTTAGAGAGTGAAGGGGGGGGGGAAGTTTTCTTCCAAAAAAATTGCAATTCCCATTTTATCCACTAACAAAAGCATATCTTAGTTCTCCAGGCCTTTTCTCTGCAGCCTTGTGACGGGAAATGCTTCATTGGCCACAAACATCTAAATTACAACTCCCGAGACTTCTCATTTGCTCCACACTGTACAGTAGAAAGGCCCTTTCCAAAACTGCTTCAAACAAAGCTGCATGATTTGATGATGATTGAGAAACACTGAAGGGGAGCAAAAAATAAAGTTGCACAAACAAGCCACGTGCATGCACATTCCTGTTGCTGAAACTCGGGAGGTTTCCCCCCAAACTGCTGACCTTCTTCAGTGACATCAAGCTGCAGCTGCACTGTCTCGTACAGATGACAATAATGGTGGTGGAGGTTACAGGAGTAAATGCCTTGGTCGCTCTCGGCAACATCTTGATTGGAAGGAAAAAGGAGAAGGAGAAGGAGATAAGAAACCTAGATATTAGAATGACAGGGAGAAGGTAAGTGGGATGGATATCAATACTGCAATGAGTCTTAAGTGATCATTCAGTCCAACCCCCAATCAGCGCAGGAATCCTCTATCTGTATTCAAAACAAATGGGCATCTGATTTTAAACATCTGTAAGGGAGGGGAGCTTGCCACCTCTCCCGAAAGTCTTTCCATAGCGGTACATTAGGAAATCCTTCCTACTGGTTACAAACTGCCATTCAGTTGTTGTTCCCCTCCCTCCATTTTAGAGAATAAGCACTTGAAGGGAAAGAGCTATCTCCCATACAGAATAAAGAAACAAGCAAACGAACAGGCTAATCTGCTGTTTTGTATTGTGAGGCTGGTGAATTGGGCAGCCAAGCCCTGGCAGAACTTGAAGAAAGATAAGCAAGGTCGGATCTAGTTGGCCCTTGGGCAGTGCACCACTAAGAGATCCTGGCTATAGGCAACATTGGGAAGTAAAAGAGAAGCTTCGTGGCTGACAGCAAGTGCAAACCACTTCTGTACTGTGGCTAAGGAAATTACCTGCCACTGTCCATGTAGTCACTAAGAGTCAAGCTCAACTCAAGGAAGTCTTTACCTTTTAAACCCACAATTAATCTCAGTATTATATATTAATAAGCCTAGCATTTGTAAGGATCCCATTGGTGTGTACCAAAGTTAAGGCCAACATTTTCCTTCAGTGGAAATGAGGCTGTTCGGTGGGCATATTTGGAGGAAGGAAATCCCAAAGGAGGAAGCAAAAATACCCCTAAGGTGGACGCTCCTGGCATCTGGAAAGGGAGCCACCCGCCCTGCTGCATTTTTATTTTTTATTATTCTATATTATAGAAATAGTTACTGATTTTGTTGTCATGATAGCCCTTTTAGAAATAGCACTGCATTTTTTTAAAGCAGGAGGAGAAATCATTTCAGCTGATGAATGAATTCCCATATGTCTCTTTTGGAAAGAGCAGATTAATGGATGTGTGCATGGAAGCAGCAGCTACCTTGGACCACCAATGAAAAGTTGCCTTCAATAAATGCGTTTTCAGGCATGGAGATCCGGCCCTGGTTGTACGAGTGGTAGACCCGCTGGTCCCCAGCAGAGTACATGTCACACAGCCTCTCTGCATTCTGCTGGCTTCTGTACAGATCCCAATGAACCACCCGCTGGCGATCATTCAGACTGTCTTGAGTCCACACCATCCGGAAGCTCTTGCAAGACAGAACCGTCCGGGAGCCTGCCTCGGCGGTGATGTTTACCACGGATACCACCATGCTCTTGGGATTAGATGCATCTGCTGGGACTGCAACAAGAGGAAAGGGAAGGAGCTGTATAAGAAGAGACATCCTCAACTGAAAACAGAGGCACCCATCTACATTTGAATCTTAAACCTAATGAAAGTCAGGGAGGAGATTGGCCTCTCTGCTCCCTCTAGCTAAAGGAGGGAAGTGCAGGACAACAGACCAAGAAGTAAATGCAAAGGCTTCATTGCCCATGGTAGAAGGCACACCAGAGACGCGGGTTCAATTCCTGACACCTGCAGTTAAAAGGGGCTTATGGGAAAACCCCTTCTTGGCCTGAGGTTACAGGCAGTTTGGTCATTTCAAAGAGATGCACATCTATATGAATTTAAAAAAAATATTATTCTGAGGAACCCTCAGCAGCTTCCAGTAAGCAGTCATCTCTAAATAAATCCATAAATAAATAAATCTACTTCTGCTACTTGACAGCAATGAGACTAGTCTACCTGACAAGGTTGCCATATGGAATGCATGCCGCTTCTTCCAAAGATGTAAAAGTGTAAAAATATAGTCTTATTCTCACTTACCAGAATATGGATGAACAGCAGTTTCTAAAATGGGAGGAAAAAGAGGAAAGTGTTTAGTGTCAGGGGCCAGTCACTCCTACACAGGACAGAAGATGTATTTCAGAGAAAGCCAAAGGATGAAGTGGGGCTAGATGTGTGTGTGGGGCTATCAATCTGAAGAACAGGATTTCCTACTGCAAGGTTCCTGTAATCCCCCATTACAGGAGACCACTCAAAGAGGGCCTTCCCATTGACTGGGCATTATTGAGCTAAACTGAAGTGGCTTCCTTACAGTTGCTGCAGTGGCCATTCTGAAGCAAAAAAAGGCCTGCCAGAGGCAAGGAGATCTCCCCCCCACCCAATTCTCATAATTGGTGGTCTCTGAGCTCCAAAGACAGGGCCAGCAAACATAACAGTTCCCCTCTTACATGGCTGTTCCACAGAGGCCAAATTGCAACCTTGGCATTGGAATCAAGTTCCCTTCTTGTCTTGCTACTGTTACCCACTGGCTAAGTTGCAGACTTGACAAGAACTGGTGGGGCCAATAATCCAGACAGGCAACAGACTCAGTGCTGGAGGCCTCCAATCTGAAGCTGGACAGCCATCTGTCGCGGTGCTTTCTCTAACACTGGGTGTAACTAAATGGTCCATCAGTCTGGTTGCTATAAAAGGCACTGAACCCTGATCCTTGAAGTCTCCATCCTGAAGACTGGGAGCAAGGGGACATCATGCAAATCCTTCCTTATGCCTTGAAAGAGAAGAACTGGCCATCCTAAGAGGAGTTCCAGTGTCCAGAGCATGAATTTCTTGCTCTCATTGGCTATCGGCCCCAGTGATTTCTTCAGAGATTCACTAAATGGGTGCTGTTATGAATGTCAGGGAGGACATTTTTCAGACAGGGAGAGCTCTCACTTCTGTTAAGCAAGATTAGTCTGATGGAGCTCAGAACACGCCTTTTCCATGCTATCTCTATTTGTGGGAGGAAAAAGCTCACCATTTTTGTATCCCAGTTTAATGTAAAGAACATATTTGCGGATTACATTGATTCAACTGCTGACAAGTTCATTAAAAAAAAAGAGTTTGGCTGTTCTTCCAAAGAAAGCAGGAAACTCACCAGATGTGCTGTTGCTCAGAATTGCGCAGATCCCTTTAACCCTATTTGGGGATTTTTTTTTTCATTGTGCCAAGTTCACTCATTAGCCAGTTTTAACTACGGAGGGAACAGACAGCCCTGGGACCAGCTGGCATTGCTAACACTAGTCGAAGATCAAAGCAAACGGTGTGGGTTTTTTTGGTGTATGACTGTAAATGTAATGATTAAAAAAAACTTGCTCAGATGTTTATAAAACACAACTGGACAAAGTGGAAATTGCTTCAGCACAATCTTCAGTGGTTTTATTATAATGATTGGCTTTTATCTTAATGATCAGCCTCCTTTATTTTTGTCTACAACTCCCACTGGGAAGGTATCAGGTTACCCACCTTTCTACCTTCTTGTCTGCAGCTCTGTGGGCTTTAGAGCAATAGTACCACTAGTTGTATAGGCAGTCTACCTGAGAATTCCACCTGCTGTGCAGAGACAGCTTAGAAAAGGAATCCCTTTCTTTCATGACCTACTTCCTAACTTATTGGAGACAGGATTCCATGCTACACAATCCTATCAACAAACTACAACTGATGTAGTTAAGGTACAGCACTATGGAAAAATAAAGGTTGGATTCCACAGACTCAAGGTAGCCTCCATCTCACTTTCTGTCCCACACCTGGAAGGCCAATGGAAATACCTGAACAGTACATTTATATCCGTGAAGCTTTCTAAAGGCCTCTGGAACAGACAACTTGCCCTGCCAGGCAACAGAACGATACTTCTGATCCATCTAGACAATTTCCAGGCACTTGTCCAGAATGTCAGATTGCACTCTAATTTCTCCTCTGTGCAAGCGATGTATGCTCTAAGGTGTTAAAGTAACAGTTTTAACTGTGCTTTAGGTTTTTTTTTTAAATGCAAGCTGTCTTGGGAGATCCTTCCAATCGTAAGAAAAAGTAAAAAAAGTTTTTAAAAATTGCAGATAAAAAAAAGACTTAGATCAGATTAAAATCAGTGAAAATATGAGACCCCTAACCATTTAGGGAGTTCTTAGCTAGGTCTGCATGAAGCAGGTGAAATCAGGTTTGCATCATTGATATGATTCAGACAATTGATCTAATCCCGCTTGATTTGGAAAATCAATCTGAACTAATTCAGACGTTCAGACTGAACTGTCCAATCGGGTTGATCTGGATTTTTTAAATAATTCAGAAACAGCTGTTTCTGCACATTTTGTGGTGTGTTGATTGTAACCAGGATCTCTTTGCTTTAGATATGATCATGAAACTTCATTTTTTAAAAACAACAAACACAATATTTTGTTGTAGAAAGGAGGGAGAAAGCATAAAGAACTTCTACAGCTGAATATAAAAGGCTTTTGTTGATTAACAATAGATTCAAATCCCTAATCACATTACAAGTCCAACCTTTAAATTTACTAGAGATTACTTGAGTCAGACTCTCTTTGAAAAAGACTTAAAAACAAGGACTGCAAAATCTTTTTTTTTTTTTTTGGATCAGTGTTGCAGAGGAGGCAGAAGTTATGAGCAGTTTTTTTAATGATGCCAAATTCTTTGTTTACTTAAGGAGGAATTCAGTATACTCAAAAGTTTATATCTGCTTGCACTAGCAGACCCTGTCTTCCCAGATCTTTCTGGAGTAGCTCTTCCACCATCAAGAATGGAAAAAAAAAATCTGTAAGATTTCACCCTGGTTACAATCAACACACCACAGATAACCTCAGGATCTTAATCATTAAACAGCAACCTAACCAATTAAAATTAGCTCTCTCCAGTTACATAACTAAACTCAGTTTGATTAGTCTACCGCTGCTATTATTTAATACTTAAAGAACCTTGTTTCAAAAAATTATTTTAACCCTTCCTCTCTCCCCTTTGCTATGTGCTGCTTGTTTTCACCAACACTTGTATTTATTTTGGCAAAACCTCTTTCTTCATACAGTACATGGGTACTTGGTGGATAGCTCCATTTTGCAGACAGAAAGCTGAGGCTAGAGGAATTACATTCACACTAAATCTCTGACAGAAAAGTAAGGTCCTATGTTTTCCCAGCCAGACTCTCAGGATGGCAGCAGAACAGCTGCACAAATATAATGTTGCCAACTTTTCCTTAACGATTCTGTTCCTCTGCTTTTAAGACTATGCTGGCTGAGAGACATATAGCACATAAAGCTTTTGTTTATCATATGTGACGTACTGATAAATGTTTGTGTTTCATGCTGTCATTGAAAAAATAGATCTAATAAATCAAAAGTGGCTAAAATAAATTCAAGCTAAGCTTGAATTCTTAGCCAGATTGTGGCTAAGGGTCTTCTTAGCCAAAACCAACTGACCAACCAATCAATAATGCTATACAAGCAAAGCCATATTTTACTTTTCATCCCAGCAGTGCAAAACTCACAAAACATATTCTCATTCCAGTGGAGGGATCCATCAAAGTATATTAGATGGAACACCCCTCAAACTAGCTACAAGAATGCAGAAAAAACCATGTTTACATATGACACCATTCCCAAAGGAAGAAAGAGGTACGTGCACGGACACACAAAGAAAATTAATCTCCATCTTTAAAACTTACCCTGGAGAACCAACAAGAGAGCTAGAAGGAATTTGCTAGCTTGCTCCATGTCTCGAGTCTCTCTTCCTTCTTCTTTTCTTCAAGTCTTCCCCTTGCTCCTGCTGCTTGCTTGAAAACACTTATGATCTCATTCGTTTACAGCCCCAAAACATGAATATACAGCAAACCTCTTTCCACAGCCACAACCCTTCCCTCCTGTCTCTTTCACTCTTTCTCTTGCTTGCCAGCCCTCCCACCTCTGTCCAATCCTATGGCTCAACTTCTACATAACATACATACTATCTGAACTTTCCTCAGTCTTACACAGCCTAAATTACTTTTGATGTAATAGTGATTTTAAACGATCTAGTAACTTTTTGCTGGCTCCAGTCCTCATAGCTCCAAGTTTCAAAGACAGTTCCACCCACCCTCCTCCCTTTTCGGGTATATGGTATTAATTTTCTGGGCACTTACAGAATCCAGCTTTCTTTTTTCCTGCTCAGGCTGACATTCTGCCAGATGTTGTTTTGAGCCCTGTATCTTTTCTTTATCCCTGCTTCCCTCATTTTCTGAAAGTGTATTCTTTTGATTTGTCTGTCTCAACTCTAGATGGCTTTGCTGTCAGCTTTCAAACAACTTTAAAAAATGGTTGATTTGGCTACAAAGGCCAAGTTAATATTACCAACACATCCCTATTAGACCACTTTTCTACAAGAGTAGAACATTTGGACTTAAGTCTTTACACCTTCTAGGGACAGGTGTCTCCATTAGTATTCAATGTGTGTTAATTCCACCTGTTTTCACTCATAAATTCCTATTTTCATATTAAATTAAAACACACAGACCCTCATTATAATCTGCATAGATTTTCATCTGCAGCTTTTGCTAACATGCAGGTTGTTGATGCATGTCCTAATGAATGCATTTTTGTAAACAAATTCTCTTGGATATCAGCATTTTGTTGGCATCTTTCCCTATCATCCACATTATTGGATCTGACCAAGAAAAAAGTACACCACAACATTTAGATAGATTTTCATCTGCAGCTTTTGCTAACATGCAGGTTGTTGATGCATGTCCTAATGAATGCATTTTTGTAAACAAATTCTCTTGGATATCAGCATTTTGTTGGCATCTTTCCCTATCATCCACATTATTGGATCTGACCAAGAAAAAAGTACACCACAGGGACATGCACACATTGAAAGATCATGGAATTCAAATCTATGTATCTATATGAGTAAAAAAAATGCATCTGGTTGATTAAAGAAGGCTGACCAAACAAAATTCTTTCACCCTCACCCCCTTGTATCAATTTCTCTGAAATGACAAATTCTTGGAGACAAAGCACAATTGTTCTCTTAACATCTCTTGATTTATGAATGCATCAGAAGCAGGATGATCAAACCCACATTATAAGCAGTGGCTGTCTAACAGAAATAGTTCCCCAAAAGCAGAACCTTGGCCCTCTCACCCCTTGAAATTGCTCATTCTGAGCAATTCTGTTGCAAAACTGAGGCTTTAGCTCTTTCCATTCACAAGGACTGCATTAATCTAAGATCCATCTATCCCCTCCTGCCCCCCAAAACGTATTAGGACAAATTATTATGCTGAGTTCATTGCTGTTGTTTAAATTGCAGGGCAGAAAGGTTTAAGAAGCTCCTTGCAACTCGGTTTCAGGCAAAGTAACCAAAATACATAATGGGGCAAATAGCCATGCCAAGGCCTTGTTGCTATTTACACAATCAAAAGTGGGTTAAAGAGCCATCTGCTTTCTAGCTCCACTTCCATGGGAGCAAGGTAAGAAGCAAGGGGCCCTGGACTTAGGAAGCAAAGCAGATCTTGATCACAGTTGGAAAAGCTCAGATGGAACTGGACTGAAACCCAAGAGGCACCAGTTTTATGCTAATCCATTGTGCTAACAGCTTCTCCAAAGCCCTGCCTTCTCCAAAGCCTTGCCAGCTTAAACAAAATATTCCCAGGATAATTATATTACAGTAATGGAGTTTACCTCCTCCCACTAGATTGTGAGAAGTTGCTCTGTGGCTTACTTAACTGAAATAACAGGGTTTTCCTTAACCAATCACAGAAGCTTTTTATCGCTAAGTCTTATTCACAACTGTGCAGGACTAACCATATCACTGCTTTTGGCAGAGGAGGAGGTAACCCCATCATGCCCATTATTTTTTCTACAAGAGCCTATAAAATAATTTTTACTATAACTGCCCACTGGACCTCAATAATAACAGATGATGATATGGCAGAAAATTTGGATGAGATCTAATTCTCAGAAATTATATCCAGTCCAAAGCATACCTGGAGTAAAGGTTATGGCAAAACGATGACTTTGTATAAGCCTCTAGGGTAGATGATAATTACAACAATAGATTTGCCAACCCAAAGCAAACAATCTTGTCAGAAGAAGCTTATTCTTCATTTGCTACCTCTCCGTTTCCACTTCTCTGAACAGGCCAAGGGAAGTCCCAGGCAGGATTGGCTCCTGTGAGTGCCTGAAATCTCAGGACAGGAGGCTAGGCTGGGGAGAAGAAAAAACATCCCAGAACCTGGCAGTGGCAAATTGCTTCCATGTTATTGGCCAGGAAACTCCAGGATGTGTCCATGGAGCCACCAGGAGTTGAATTTGACTCAAAGAAGTCTTTAACTGGAGTCAGAAATGAGGAAGAACATAACAACCATCAGTTTTTAAAAGCCAGTTGAGGTTTGACCCAAAGGAGTCATTTTGCAAACAGGAAAGAGTACGGCAAGTATGTTGATTTTACAAAAAGGAATATTTACACAAAAACCTTAATTTGGCTGCTGAACTGACCTAGTTCTGTGGGACGGCTTCACACTACACCACAAAAAAGACTAATCTAACTGACAATAACGTTAATTAATCCTTTATCTCTGCCGAAATAGTCAAAATTTGATCTCCATTTCATCCCCAAGAGGAATGTGTTTCATAGGAAAGCCTGAAGGAATTTAGAAGCATCAGGGGACAATCAGAGGAGAGCAGCATGTGGGAATTTGGTATCTGGGTGTAAGTTACAGGTCAGGTGTTGTTAAATTGAGATACTCGGCTTACTTTGACTGATCTCAAAATGCCAAGTAGTGTTGGACCTGGTTAGTCCTTGGATGGGAGACCATCAGGAAATCCCAGGGCTGTAAGCTAGGCAGGAAGTCAAAACACTTCTTGGAAGAGGGCAGCAGCAAGTCACTTACATACTGAAGACTACATGGACATATCCACAAAATCTGCAGGAGTTGAACCTGGACTCTAAGGAGTCTTAACTTTTTTTCCTATACCCCCTTCTATGCAGAAAATTAATTTCTCTTGGACCAAGGTTCCTGCAAAGACAAAATCTGGACAAAAGAGAGGAAATGCTTCACCAAATATCAGGATGTTGGGGCAACTGGAGTATGGTATAACTGTATCCTATGAGCACCTGTTAGTGTCACAAACCTTCAGCCAGGCATCAAAACAGAATCCAGCTAGCAGGGCTAACAAAGATCTGCTGCTGGCAGGCTGGGTTTCTTGTGCAATGAAGGCATCACTTGAAATATAGCCACAATTATAGGCCTGTGAGATGTAATCTGCTATTACTCCCATGACTTCACCCATCCTGGAATCTATTGGGGACACTGTGTTACAGAAGACTTTCTGTGCTCTAATTGCTGCTTGCTCTAACCCCTGGTTTACCCCCACCCCTACAAATTGAAACTTGGGGGCTCCGTCCCTGTGGAAGGCTGCCCACGTGGACCTGTTTTACAGTAGAATGGAAGTAATAATGGAAACCTGAGCAGGTCTCCTCAGAAAATTCTCACTGAACCAAAAGGAAACTCAGCTTTCTGATAGCCTCTGTGCTGCATTTCATGTGATTATTGATTGCTACTACCCAAAGGTAAGAATTCTGCATGCCGTCAGAGGCATTCTGTCATGCAGAAAGCTCGAGTTGTTGCTGGGCTACCTGTGGCTTTTTCTTGAAGAGTCAGCTCTTCAAATCCATCTCTGCCAGATACTAAATTCTTATTATGTCGCTAAATTATCCTTGACTCTTGGTCAGAAACCAAATTTTTATCTCACTTTGGAGGGCCTCTCCAGTATCCTCTTATTTATAATGCCTATCAGGTTTTGACTCAAAGGGACTTTATCTCCCAGCATGCCTCTAGGTATGATTCCCCACCCTGCTATGGAATCAGTAGCAGATCTGACAATGGTTGTTCTCTCTCTCCAGAAACTTCTAGGAACTGGACTTGGACAACTTAAGTAAACTAGAATTCCCAGAGTTTCTCATGTTGCATCATAGACACCAAAGCAGACTTGAAATTGGCCAGAGAAGCTATGATGCTCTAGTAGCAGAGGTCTCTCCCTGTCATCCCATCAGTGACCAGTACACTCGTTGCAGACTATGGCTCCATTTCAGTGCTCACGGCAGATACTTTTCCTGCACTATGGGATGGAGTAGCACATTCGAAGCTCAGCCTTTCAGTTCTGGCAAGCATTCTAGTCTTAATTCCTGGAATTCATAAAAACAGCGCTAATAGGAACCATTTACAAAAACAGAAGTTTCACCCAGGATTTTTTTTAACGCTCCAAAACAATAATACAAAAGCACTACCCAGAAAAAGACAAGAAAAGACCACTTAGTCTTTGCCTCTTGACTCTGCCCCATCCTTCTTTGGCCACATTCTGTTTTGCAGCTGTGGCTATGTAGCTTTTTAAAACAAAGGACTACAAAGGAATATAAAAAGCATATTTTGAGCATGTACCGAGCTCTGTTTCCTTACAACAGAGAGCTGGCAGCCAAACCTGGTTGGAATTCATGAGCAGGCTTAAACATATATGTTGATTCCTTCTATTTAAGGGAGCCTGCTAAGTTTCACTGCTGAAAGAAATTCCTTTTACCACAGATAGAAGAGTGGTGGGTTCTCACCATTCTTGCAATCAGATCCTACATGAGAGCAAGTGCATCTCAGTGAAATAATATTTGCTTTGCATGCCAAAAGTTTTGGGTTCAATTTCCTGGAAAGCTGGGGAAACTTTCTTCATGGAACCCTGGAGAGCAGTTGCTAATCAGGATAGAACTAGACAGATTGACTCAATAAAAGATCATTTCTTATGTTTCCAATTCTTCTTTTCTGGGGAAAAACATCTCTGAATAAATCAGAGACAGAGAACTGAGAGGAAATAACAGAGCAATCAAATCAGCATCACTGAGGCCTTATCCCATTGGCTTCATCTTCAAAAATCTCCATAACAGTCAGAAAGTAAAATTCCACACTTGGTTACTCATCTCTGTCCAGCAGCTTTGGAGACAATGTTCCAAAAGTAAGGCAAACAAGAAAAGTATTTTTAAAAAATATGCCCCAAAAATAATTTTAAAAATCCAGATTGTCA